CACCCACACACACACACACACACTGTCGTCTTTTCCTCGTATCTCTCTCTTACATTCCCTCCCTCTCTCTCGCTTTTATCTTACCGACTTTCACCCCTTCCTATTCTTGATATATTTCCCTTTTTTCTTTCTGGGAATATTTAATTATAATGATGTTGTTCTAAGTTTTCCTTTCTTCGGACCTTTGTTTTTTATGTATTCCTTGCGCTCTCTTTCTCTCACTCTCTCTTTCTCTCTTTCTTTTTTCTTGATTCTAAGGCCTTGATTTTTGGTTGCTTACTTGCTTCTTACTTTCCGTCTCTCTTTGTCTCCCTTTATTTTTATCTGAATGATTCGCACTTCTCTTTGGTTTTCTTTCTCTTTCCTTTTTTTGCCGTTATTTTGATATTGTTTCTGTTTCCGCATCGACGAATTACGACAGTAACACAACAGTAATAATAATGAAGGACTTTTTAAATGCTTTAGTTCCTTGTGCTCTCCTGTGTCCGAAGACGCCGAGCCTCGGACTACTCCAAATCACGAACGTTGCGTCGACATCGGTGTCGGCGTCGCCGTTGGCGTTGGCGTCGGCGTTGGCGTCGGCGCCGGCGTCGGCGTCGGCGTCGGCGTAAAAAGCTAGCAACGTCGCGCAAACTCGATGTCAGAGTGCAGTTTACTGCAAAATATAGAAAGATAATCTGAAAGAACATAGAGAAGTAAAAATATACGAATCGAACGAAACAAATAATAGATAATAGATTTAAATAATATACATGTTATATAGTTACGGAGCAGAAGAATAAAACTAATATTAATTAATTAATTTTTAAGCCTCCATTTACAATATAAATATCAATATACATACGTGTATAAACAGAATTTACCTACGATGTATGCAAAAGAAGTATTTTTGAATGAAATGAAAAGAAATCTAGAGCAGTAGTAGCGATTCCAGCAAAAGAAAACAAAAAATCATTAAGGAGAATATGATAAAAATAAAAATTAACAATTAAAATAAATGACAAAATTATCTCTCGACCATATTTTGTATTAATCGATTGTTTATGTGTGTGGACAAAACACAACATTGTGTAACAGTTTATGGGTGACACATCAACAGTCCATATTGTCTGTATAGGATATTGTCCATACTAATTTATAATAAAACTCTCAAAAATCTTGCTTTAAAATAATTTCAATCAAATTTCGATTAGCTTAATCAACAATTAACTTCTGTTAAGTTATATATATCTACATACTACTCATATATGTTAAATATCGCCTTAAAACACTAAAATACTGTAATATCTTTTGCAATAAGTTCTTTACAGTGTTTTAGAATGCTTGTAGCATCGTCGTCAAATTAAAGATCAATTTAATATATAATATTATTTCAGCTTTAAATTATAATTGCATTCTAAAAGACCGACAGTAATCGGCGCACAGTTTACTATAGCAGAAATTTAGAAATTCAAAATATTATTATTAGATAGCAATATTTAGCGCCGATCGAAATTTAATTTTTTCTCTTATTTGAAGCTGCGGTTTGCTTGATGCTTCGGAGCATTTTTCAATTAGTCAATTAATAAAAATTCTTTCTTCTAATTGGTCAATCAAATGCTTCGAAATATTTGTAGCGTAAAGTGGACTGCACCCTGAGTCGAAAATTCCTAAATCATCTTTTTCTGCAATGCTCAATGAAGCGATCACTACTGCAATCATTAATTACTGCTTGATTGAGCATTGTAAAAAAAAAAGATTCTTAAGTAGCACTCACTAATCATATAACACTTTCTTATTAAAAAATTACGAAAAATGATAAAAAAATCTTGAACCACTGTTTTCCTTAAGTCTATCTTAAACATAAAAACTGTTGCGCAGGGGTGAGCAATAAAGCGCGTAGAGTTAATTATAAATCACTTTGAGTTTATTACAATTATAACTGATAATGAATACAGTACAATTATAATAGACGAGCGGAAACGAAAGAAACTGACTTGCGTGAATTCGATCTCCAACGAAAGTGAGCAAGGGTATAGAGCCCGCATGCTAGAGAGGTGATCGATTGTGCTTGTTGATCATCGTCGGTAATTAGCATGTTCGATCGGTGGCGTCTCTTAATGATAATGAGAACAATTTCATACGAGACGCGATTATATGAACGAATAAGAGACAATAAACTTTATTATTCTCCAATATAAAACCAACTATGCCATATCGATCTTAAAGAACCAAATATGCAATAAATACCGGCCGATGCAAGATTATCAAAATTTTTCTGCTCAATTTACCAATCTTTATTAAATTTTATTCAATATGTTTGGAAATAAACCTCATAGTCAACCTCTTAGTTAATTTCTCATATAAAACTTATTATTCTGTTATTTTAGAATTGTATATTTTGAGTTTTTAATATCAACTACATCAGAAACTACATCAGTAGTATCAATTACAGAAGAAAGATTGTTTTCGTCGAAATTTATTCGCTTGTAATGCAGAGTATATATCAGCACATTCGAGTTAAGTATCATAACATCTAATTTGTCTCTTCATTGATAAATTTATAACTTCAATAAATTATAATTGTATAATAAAACTTAACTAGTA